CTCTCTCTCTCTCTCTCTCTCTCTCTCTCTCTCTCTCTCTCTCTCTCACACACACACACACACACACACACACACGAAATAAAAATGTAATAACTTTTTAAAAGTACTGTTATATAAAGGTGTCGGGGAAGTGGTTCCGTAGGCAATGTGCTTGCTGTGAAAATTTGAGGACTTGAGTTTAGGTCCCTAGCACCCACATAGAAAAGCTAGATGTGCCTGTCACCCAGGCATGGGGAGGCAGATCCTGGAGACTTGCCAGCCACCTAATCTAGCTGGATTGGTGAGCTCCAGATTCAGTGAGAGACCCTGTCTCAAAAACACAGGGAAGACCAACTGAAAAGACATTCGATGTTGACTTCTGGCCTCCATAAGCACCCTCACATGCATGTGTGCACCTGCACACACACATGCACATGGAAGAATGTTATGTAAATGAGATCTATGTAGATGTAATTCTGAACAGTTTTATTAGATAAGAAACACAGAGCCAAATGTATCGTTAAAAGCCCCAGAGGTCAGAGCAGCAGCCAAGAGCTGAGACCAAGACTGCCTTCTTACCCCTTGCTGCCGCTGCCGTCTTTCTCCCGAGAAAGAGACCTACTTCCTGTGCGTCTGTCTTTTTATTGACTTTCTGTTCTGCCTTCTCATTGGTTGTAAACCCAACCACATGACCTCCTTGTCACTGCCTGTCTATACATACCTCCAGGTCTCTATGGTTGATACTGAGATTAAAGGTGTGTGTCTCCATGCTGGTAGTGTCCTTGAACACACAGAGATCTGCCTGTCATGTTATCGGGATTAAGGGCATGTGCTACCACTGCTAGACTTCTGCTAGATGGCTTGCTATTAGCTCTGACCCCCAGGCACTTTTATTTATTAACATACAAATAAAATCACATTTCAGCACAAATAAAATATCACCATAGATCCATTAGTAAGAAACCTTTTAAGTCTTCTTGGCTCTGGCTGTCAAGAGTGAATTTTGACTGGAACCTGACCTTTTTCATTATGAGGTGAAATTTTGGATGTCACACTTTCTACTTCAGCAGCTTCCCCTGACACAGTGTCAGAAGGGCCAGTGGCTTTGCCACTGCTCTGAGTTTAAAGTCCAGTGAACACCTGAGTCGTGTTGGGTGTAGATATGTAGACTGCTATGAGACATATAGCAACAATAAGGTTAGTCACAGCTGTAGACTCACTCAGGTGCCTTGCAAGGTTGAGCCTGTGTGTCAGTTGCACTGTAACGCAGCCTTATCCTAGGGATTTCTAATCATGGCCCTCAGGACCTCCAGGAGACAAGGCCATTTCAGCACACATGGAAAGTCTTCTAAACCTCAGAATGAAGTTTGCCCTTGCCAGGATATCTTCAACTCCCTTTATGGGAGAAATGGCTGGGAGCTGACCCAGCTGAATGTAGGTATAGAAAAAGGGGGAAACCACCCCAAGTTCCGAGGCTGGTGTCTGGATGGAGACTCTTCTAGTCAGTTGGTCATCTGTCCCCGATTGTATCTGGCTCATGACCCTGGCTGGTGCCTCCTTGCAATCACTTACAGCACTACCAGGATAAACAGCTCAAGGCACAGCTACCATTCATCTTTGCTGTAAATAAAACAGAAAGTGAGAGGTTGTCCCCAGGAAAGTTAGTTACTAAGACCACACCAAGTCCTCACATATGAAGACTGAAAATTGGATAGCATAAGTAAGCGAGCAAGAGAATTTTGCCATTCATTTAATTTATTTTCAGTTTTAAAGAAAGATTTCAATTTGTTAGTGAAGAATAAACAGAGTAAAAATTATTTTCTGGTCCATTTTTTAAATGAAGTATTTTTTTTCTTTAAAATTTTTTTCAACAGAAAAACTTTTATCCAGTTTGTTCTTTGACAATTTCGTTCACAAATAATGTATATTCTAATTATTGTAACCTTGAATCCCTGTGACTATTCCCTCCTCCTTACAAGTCTCCTCTCTCACATTCATGACTTTTTGTTATTTTGGGTTGTCTTTTTTTTTTTTTTTGGTTGTTGCTGTAATATTTTTGAGAATAAGTTGAACTGGAATCATGTGTGTGACCAAGGGTTTGGAATTAAGTGCTGAGGCCAGGTGGGCTCCTCAGTGAAGACAGCTGTGGGTTCCACAGTTGAAGACCATGACTGCCTCTCCTCCTAAACCCATCAGTAACTGGTTCCCAGCAGGAAGGCTTAGGGGCTCATAAGCTTGTCTCAGATCTTTGACTGTTGACAGGCCCGTTGACGCCCACTTAGTTACGTTCCCACCAGATTGTTCTGAGAATGCCAAAGACTGCTCTTTATCCATCAACAGAAATCTGTTTGAGATTTGACAGACTTCCAAGTTCAGATAACTTGTTAACTACTGATCCTCTTCAGAGTCAAGAGGTCAAACATGAACCTTATCATGGCTACAAGATAAATGATAGCCATAGGCCCATCCAAGTGACTGTGGGCCATTTAGTACTATAATATAACCCAATCCTGGGAATTCCAGCCTTCTCCCAGGGGTTTCCAGGAACCAGGTCATCTCAGCAGATATAACTTTTAGAAACCATAACCAAATTTACTTTTATCTAACAAACTTTCTTTATGAAAAAAAAAATTAGCAAATAGCCTGGACTGAATACTAAAAAAACAGAAGGATTGTCCAAAGTTTGAGGATGGTCCCTTGATAGAGATTCTTATGATCAACTGACATCCATCTGTTCTCTGTCTTCTAAGAGGGCAGCCAGAATGTGCGAAGTATAAAGTGTGTCTTTTTTGCACAATGAACTGGGAGAGAAGATTTTTGCTTTGCTTTTGAGGGCGCTGGTTAGTTTCGACACCCGACATCCCCAAACATGCGATGTGACTTCTGCTGGTACCATAGTAGAGGTAGCTGCCTTACTTCCGTGCCTTGGTAACAGCTACTGTCTACAAGATCTCCTATGTTACTGCCCAGTGCGGGGAGCCTTGGTGCAGGTATCAGTGTCCAGTCTCAGTCCCTCATTGACCTTTGCTGGTGTGAGGGTGTGAACGTGCTCTCCACATCATCTGCACTGTGGCTGGTGGCTCCTATTGTGACTGGCTTCTCTTTCTTCATCACCTCTGGACTATATGGAGAAATCTTCTAGCAAAGCCATCCTAACTTCAAGCCTAACCCCTAACTCCTTGCTGCATCACTAAGGTGTTCTTTTCTGTTTTGTTTTTGCTTTTCTTTCTTTCTTTCTTTCTTTCTTTCTTTCTTTCTTTCTTTCTTTCTTTCTTTCTTTCTTTCTTTCTTTCTTTCTTTCTTTCTTTCTTCCTTCCT